AAAAAATATAAAATTTTGAACGAGTATTGTGATTATACAATAATGATTTTGCTTTACAGGGTTACCAGAAAGATATAGGGTACAAATTCTATGCCATAACTTTATTCAAATACAAGCTAATGGAATCAAGTAAAGCTTATATGATAGAGAATTAATCGTGGAACAAGAATAATCAAGAATTTTTGAAGGGCCTATCCTTCCCTAGGACACAAAGTTGAAGTCGAAGGCGCAAAGTCGAAGGCCAACTTCCAAATTTTCTTTCCCTAGTGTGCTTATAGAGCTATAGCTCCTTAAAGTCATCCTTGATTTAATTATTTATTTATAACGGACACCAAGGGGCACATACAAACATGTACCGGTACTATCCGTTTATATCCCCGCAATTCTGCAAATGTTTGTCCGCACTTTTTTTCATTCTTTCTCCTCATAAAGGATTAGAAACGGTCAAATTAACCCCTTTTTTCTTCGCCTTCTTTCTCATCTCATAAAGATTAAAATGTTCAAGTAAAAATAGAGGATCTGGACTCTGGATTTAGGTTAGTACCCTGGACAAGATTCTGGAAAAATCCAGATCCAGAAAAAATCCAGAACGATCAAAAAAAGCCTGGATCTAGACTCTGGATCCAGAAAAAATCCAGACTGGATCCAGATCCAGACGATCTCTACTCGGCACCTTTTATTACCCATATATGACATTTTGAGCATTAATTTATGTGGGTGTGGCAGAACGGAAAGGTACCAATAAGGGAGAAAGGGAAGGAAAAATGAAAAAATGACAGAAAAATGGTAGGGGGGGGGTACCAAACAAACTATTACCGAAATAATTTCTAAACATTCTTTTATTTTTACCTTTATATTTTTCCATAGGCGAAAATTTGTCTTCCTCTATTTTTACTTGAACATTTTAATCTTTATGAGATGAGAAAGAAGGCGAAGAAAAAAGGGGTTAATTTGACCGTTTCTAATCCTTTATGAGGAGAAAGAATGAAAAAAAGTGCGGACAAACATTTGCAGAATTGCGGGGATATAAACGGATAGTACCCATGTACCCTTCCAATGAATAAAAAATCGAATACCAAGAAACTATTTTGTCCTTTCCCATACTAGGCAAACTACAACCTATCCCCACCGATTTCCTGTCAATTTAATCATTAAACATACCCAATAAGCACCATTATCATAATGATTGCTAAAGATTTAAAAATCCGTTTAGTATAATCCTCAGTTTCTGAAAGGTTTTATTAACTATTATTAATTTAACGAAATAACTACGTGTATTTTTAGATCGTAATTTGATTAAAACAGGGCTCGGATTCGTACTTTATTTGAAAGTACAGTACTTTAAAATCGACCTCCGTACTTACGAAATTGAATTTGTACTTTATTGAAAGTATGTACTTTAAAATCAACATTTTGAAAAAAATGGAAGAAATCTGGCTTAAGGACCCCCAAATTTTCTAAAATTTTCGCCTGCGGCGCAAAAAATGGAAGAAATCTGGCTTAAGGACCCCCAAATTTTCTAAAATTTTCGCCTGCGGCGCAAAAAATGGAAGAAATCTGGCTTAAGGACCCCCAAATTTTCTAAAATTTTCGCCTGCGGCGCAAAAAATGGAAGAAATCTGGCTTAAGGACCCCCAAATTTTCTAAAATTTTCGCCTGCGGCGCAAAAAATAGATTTTTTGGCGCCTTCGGCTCCACAAAAAAGTGCATTGAAATTCACAAAATGGTAAGTTGAAACAAGAAATTATTAGAAAAGATTAATTTAAGAGAGAAATATAAAAGATTTGAGCACGAATAAATGTTTTCTAATTTAATTTTGAGTGTACTTTAAATGTGGAAATTTTGCCCCTATGTACTTTAAAATCAAGATTTTTGTACTTTTTATTGGCATTTTGTCGATCCGAGCCCTGGATTAAAACCCAAATAATTATATAATTTAAAGCAGAAAATCCAATCAAAATTATATCATCACGGAATGTCTAAAATTAAATAAAGTAATTATTTTATGTTATTTTCTAACAGATTGGCCAATTTCCTTTTGATAACAATCAGCAATTGAACAAATAACAGGCCTTAAAATGTGATATTTAACAAATTAGTAGTTATTTGCTCCAAAAAATAAATCGAATTATAGTAAAGCATAGCTTGGTTCTATTTCTCCCTTTCAGCCAGTACGGAAGTTTAATCGGCGATTGGGAACGAGCCTGCATCTTCGGACCGAACTGGAGTGCTATCCACGGACTGATGTGTTATCCTGTACATATAGCTTTAGGAATTAAATAGCTATATGCTTCACAATATGATACTATCTTCCAGATTTACGTTCCCTCTTTCTTCGGAATCTAAAGAACCGTGCCAATATCCGAATGAACCGGCATTCCGAATAGAAAAATCCTTGGGTTTTCAGTTCGTTTCCAAAACTACAGCCTTATTCTCGAAACAAACCAATAAAAACTTAATATATCATTTAAAAAACTTAACGTTTTCGGTATTGTTAAACATATTGTCCAACATCCCCAAAGCACGTATAAAGAATAAATTGTTGAGATTACTATTGAAAAGAAAACGCTTAAACGAGAAGTTTTGTTTCCAAATCCTAATGGAAACAAAACAGAAAGAAGACGATCAAATCCAATAAAAAACGTTAAGCATAGACTCATAGTTATTGATAAAATGGAATAAATCATTAAATAAAAACAAATATCCAAATTAATAAAATTAATTCCAGTCACAACGATATACATTGAAATTGAATTACTTGTTTGATATATAGCTGTAAATAGGGCATCTATTGCTATTAAATAATTACAACTACTGTTTAGCGATCTGAATAAAGAAAAAACTAGTTTGTTTAATTGTGCCTTAAAATTTTTGATAATTATTATTTGAGTAAAAATTTTGTCCTAGGCTAGGATGGAATTGATGTTGAATCGGTGGGTGGTTTGGGGAAATGCAGAATAGAGGAAAAGCTGTTTATTGATATCGAGACCAACTTTTAAAGGATAGATAAGCCCTCGAGAGTAAATAATTTTTTGCCAACTTCACTTCTAGCTATTAAATACCAATCTACTCTCTCCCAGTATTATTCAAATGCTTGTGACTTAAGGCTCCTAATGCCTTCCTTATCTGATCATTTTCCTCCATTTTTTCCATCCTGCCTAGCTGGATCAAAATATGCCTTGGATTTGGCCAACTTTGACCATATACTATTCTTTTATCAATTATAAGAAAATTTCTGCTTTTTGATTTTTAAAAATTCAAAGAATGTTCATTAAATACATGAAAATTCATTAGATGGTTTGAGTTCTGATTTAGTCGGAAATGAAGAACCGAAACTGAAGAATCGTGAATGTATCACCTAACATTAACACAAGACTCGCACATCATAACAGGGAAACTATCAATATTCCCTCCTAATTTTTAAAAACAATGGCATTTGCCATAAATAATGGACACTTTCTAAAGAAAAATTTAAATTAATTCAATTAATTATTAATTAATTTACTCTAATAAATTAATTTTTAAATTAAACTACTTTTCTGTTATCGTTATCCAAAATAAAAATAAATTAAATAAAGTCCCAACAACAGATATTAACCAACGTATTCCTACAAATGTTATCAAAATAAAAGAAATTCCAGAATTAGCAAAAATATCAAAAAGTGTATTTGAAGTATTTGGTGGTGGAAAAGTTGAAGATAAAGGTGTTAATGAATTTTGACTTTGATTAAAAGACATTTTACTGAAATATTTGTTCTCTAAAATTAAACTAAAAATTATTAGTTTTGAATTTTTTTTGAGAAATTTGGACAAAAATTTGTTCAAAAATTAGCATGTGACCCATGTCAAAAGAAGAAAGGAACAAAGCTTTGTCTGGACTGAGTTTTGTCATTCGAAGTTCTGCCCCTTACCCAGTCAAAAAAAAAAGTTATAAGAAAATAACTATAAAAATAAGAAAATAAAAAAAAACTTTGGAAAAAAAACTTTAGAAAATAACTTCAAAATAACTTCTTCGGTTATTAGAAAATAAAGAAAAGTTGGTGGTTTGATAAAAAAATATAAATTTAAAAATTAAATTAATTTAATTACGGAAGAAATAAATTTAAAAAATTAAAATAATATTAAAAAATAATTAAATAAATTCATTTTGCTGCTTGACACAAATAGAATTTTTGAGGAAGTGGTAAAAAATTTATTAAATTATTTTGCAATTAAATTATTAAATAATTAAAAAATATTTTATCGTCACATATTTCACGTAATTAAATAAAATATACATATACCTAATTAAATTTTCTTAAATAATTTTAATTTAATTTTAAATTTTTGGTTTTTTATTAAAAAATTTTCTTTATTTTCTAAAATTATTTGAAAAGAAATAAAACAAAGATAATTACATAAATATAAAAATATTTTAATAATAAACAATAATTTATGTACATAAATTCATTGTTTTTATTTAATTTAAAAGAAAATTTAAAAATAGAAATAAAATAAGTTTTTGTTTTTTTAATTAATTAAATGTTTATAGAAAAGGAACAAATAAATTACATATTTAGGTTACTAAGAAAAATAAAAATATTTTTTTTAATTTTACAAAATTTTTAGTAAATTTGTTTGTTGTTGCTGCGTTACGTTGGGTGTACCCGTATTTTTACGAAAATTTTGGGGGTGTTTATACTTTTGTGACAGAGTGTACTACATCTAATCCTGTTTGATTAGTTGAAAAGTGCATAAGAGAGGGAGAAACTCTGATAATTCCGTACAATTTGCACAAGAGTTTGTAGGGATAACCCACAAGCACCAAATATTGTGGGCAATTGTGAGATAATGGCCTCATAATAGTCAGAGAACGGCAGCCCCCTTAAACGGCAAGAGTCCCCTAAATTATGGGACTTTTTTAATTTGACTATAATTTTTGATAAATTTTATCAATAATTCAATAAAAATAATTTAAAAAGATTATTTTTTAAATATTTATTTTCTTTTTTTCTGAAATCTCATCTAACATTCCATCCATCACAATCAGAATAACGATGATTTTTATTTAATTTTTTTAACAAAATAATATCTTCTTCAGTTAATTTTGAAGCAATATCCAAAAATGAAATATTTAATTTAATTCTTGAAACATTCCCAGACTTTGGAATAATTCCAATTTTTTGTTGATAAGCAAAAGAGAGGATAATGTGCTGAAATATTAAATTTTTACTTTTTTTATTAAAATTTTTGATAAAATTGAATTTCGTATGCCTACAGACACCCGGTCTTTATCTCGGCCCAAAGTTAACAACGGGAACTGTCGAGCTATGTCGAATTCATTACGAGGATTTTGATGTCTCTCGAATCAGCTCGACCAGCTCTTTCGAATGAGCTATTATTTGTTTAATCGAATATGTAGACAAAAATTGAGCTTTGTACACCCTTTTATTTTTTAATTTTCGGGGGTCTGTATCTCGGCCCAAAGTTAAGAACGGGGGTTGATTTTGGTATCATCCGGCATAGCTCGACACTTCTATAACCTTTAACTGACTGATTATTTTTTAATATTTTGAGGAAGGAAAAAGGAGGGGGTATACGAAATTCAATTTTACCAAATTTTTTTTTCAATTTTTGAAGGTGAGGACTCAAAATTGTTTTTCTTTTTGGTTAATTTAAAATAATTCTATCCCAATTCAAAAAATATTTTTAAAGAAAAAACCGAAATATCTGCGTCAAGTCTTTTTGCAATAGAAACAATAACAGGATCTGTAAAGAGTGATTTTGATCGAGAAGCAAGTGGAGTGTGCGCCTTAATAGATTTTAAAATTAATAAACAAAATTTCAAAACTTGAAAGAAAATTCCTTTATTATGGCAATATTCAACAAGTTCAGGTCTAGTTAAATGTGGATGGAATTCACATTGATTTAGGACAGGTCGGTATTTAACATTATCCCAAAGTTCATCGATATGACGGCCTTCAAAGTTTGAAACACCAATAGAGCGGATATAACCAGAATCTAATAAAATGTGTAGGAATATTTGTATTTTATTTTTAAATTTTAAATTAAATTTAGGAAAATTTTGAATAAAATCACGATAATTTAATTAAAATAATAAGAAATTGATAAATAATAGTGTAGTCTAGGGATTTTTTCTGCCTATTTTCCAATATTTCTGCCTATAACAATAAAAGTATGGTTGGGGGCCCGATCCGAAAGATCGAGTCGGGAATTGAATTTTGTCCCGAAAAAGACTCGGTCGGGCCGGCCCGAAAAAATGACTGAACGTCAACTGAAAGCCCACTCTAAAACCCCAACCGTAAATAAAATCAATCGAAAGAATTATGCATTCTTTCATTAAATCTTGAGTTTTTTGAGAGATTTTATTAAAAATTATTTTCTGGATTTCTAAAAATTAATTTAGTAAAGGTCAAGATCATTGGTCCCGAAAATTCGAGAAAATTATCAATTAGCTTTTTCAATTTTTCGCTTAATATTATGTTTTCGATTTGATTATAAAGATAATTATTTTATAAATTTTTTACTCAATATATTTTAACAAAAAAATTTTCAAAAATCCTCTCCTCCTCCAAAAAAAATTTTTTTTCAACCAAAATTTATCAATAAAATTTTACCCTTATATTCTTCAAAAACTCGATAAATTCTCATTCGATGATCCGAATTTTCTGGATTTTTGTCAGAAGTTCCCCAATCCTTCGGATAATGAACTAATTGAAGATCAATGTAACTTTAAAAATTGAAACAATTTTTAAATTTTCCTGATAAACATACCCACATTTTAAACAATCCAAAGAATTTTGGACCATTTTTCGAGCATTTTCCTCAACATTTGGAGACCGGATATTTGCTTTTGTGGTGATAAAAATATTTTCACGTTTGAGATTATATTTGGGAAGAAATTTCTAAAAAATAAATGAGGAATAAATCATAAAAAATTTTCGGCCCTGGTCTTGTTTATGCGTCCAATCAAACTATAAGTCTAATCAACAAAAAATTTTTTTTTCTTGGTGTTGCAAAGTTGGGGTATGGTTCCAAAGCATTTCTTCATGTTCCGGATCTACGCCCACTGGGTCTGGGAAGATTCCTTACCCCCTCGCAATTTCGGAAAGTTATAGCTAATTTTTAAAAATTTCAGAAAAACGATTTTAACTTTCAGAAATTTCGAGGGATAGTGTAAGGAACGGTCCTAGACCCAGTGGCCGTAGATCTCGAACATGAAGAAATGTTTTGGAACCATACCCCAACTTTGCAAGACCAAGAAAAATCGAATTTTTGTTGACTGGACGAATAATAGTTCTCTGGACGCAAAAAAGCTCATTGGACGCATAAACTAGACCAGCGCCAGATTTTTCATTATAAATTTCTTTTTTTATCATTAACACTCAATTAAAAACCTTAAAAGCAATTCCCAATTCTTTTTCATTATTGTAAAAATTGGCAGTATCAAATAAACGATAACCAGTTGCTAGAGCTGCATCAACAGCTCGATCTACCTCTTCTTGATTCCATAATGCATAAGTTCCGAGCCCAATAAGCGGAATCTCATAATTATCCAAAAGTTTAAAAGTACCACCGGTAATCCCTTTGAACGACATTTGGATGGATTATATGAAAAAATAAAAATATTTTAGAGTTAATCGAGAATAAACTAAATTGTCACCTACTAAAAAATATTGAATGTGATATTAAAAATACATTTATGATTTGGCTGCGCCCAATTCGCCTTAGTGAAAAAAACCATTAAGTTTCGTGCCAAATTTGGACTAGGTAATTGGAATTTCCCATCAGTTCCCATCAGCAAAGCCATAAATCCACGCATAACGGAGAGAACTTTTTAATCACTTTAATCAGGCTACTGGACAAAATCCGCCAAATGGGACATTCCCAATAAAAAGGTCCCATCTTCATTTTGTCAATCTCATAATGTCCAAGAGAGTAAAAATACTCAATTCGTCGAACTATAAAGCTAATGTGCAATTTTAAAAACGTAATTAATTTTTTTGATAAAGTTCAACTTTTTTTTGTGTTTTGCTAGTGAATAAACATTAATTTATTTTAATATTTCACTAATTTTTGGCATTTTTTGACAATATTTTGCCATGTTATTTCAATATTTTATGGCAATATTTTGCGATTTTATTTCAATAAAAATCCGAGCCTTACTTATTAGTACTTTAGTCAATTAAAAACCAAAGTATCACACAAATGTCATCGAGTCCTAGTCGAAAATATAAGCTCGTTGAGCTTAGTCGAATGAAACCAGAGTCATCGTTATTGTAAAAGTTTGGACAAATTTACGATAAGAAAACGCCTCGCGGGGAGTCTACGGTCGCTGGGTTCTAGGTCAGTTACATAAACCTGGAGCCTCCGAAGCACCAAAAACCTTTACAGAGGCCATAGGTAAGAAGCTAAAACAAAGAAGCATAACTTTGTCAAATCAAGTCAATTTTTTGACCCTAAAATCCCCACTATGATTTTTGACCATTTCAAGCCCTATACATATCTCATCTCAAACTTGTTCAATCAAGCTAATTTTGGTGTTATTCGACTCAGTTCGACGAGCTCTTTCGAATGAGCTATTATTTGCATATCGAATTTTTCACACCAAAATTGAGATTGTAAAAGTTTGGACAAATTTACGATAAGAAAACGCCACGCGGGGAGTTTTTCAATATTTCGGGACCAATAACTCGGTCCAGAATCATTTTCTGAAGTAGGGAGTGGTACTGTTCGACTCAGCTCTTCGAGACGAATTGATGATATTTGTTACTTAGTTATTTCTCTATCATATAATTATACTTGATCTCAATATCTTTAACCTGAATAAAGTTATGTCATAAATATGTAGTTTGTCCTAAACTATTCTTGTCACCCTGTAAAATACATTTGATAATATAAATATATTAGGTATTTATGTAAGTGAGATTATATGTACCTAATTAAAATAAAATATGTATAATACTTGACAAGATTGCCTACGCAATATTTTAACTTTTTATTTATAATTACGTACTTTTTAAATAATGCCTACTTTCAACAATTAATTTATACAAAATATTTTTTTCATTTTTATTAAATTTTTAAAAAGTATAAAAATTGCTAATCACCTAGATTGTATGAAATAATGAGTTTAAATAATGTTGTAATCTGTCTCTAAACTTCATTAAGATACTTATTTTACAAGTACGTTGGCTGAAAAGTTTTAGCTACTTTAGTTTTTACCTGAACTAAATATTTTTGTTATAATATTGTGTAATTTATTTCAAAAAATTTTCTTAATTTTTCCCGATTTTAGTCTTCTTTTGTCTCGATTATCTTTTATTTTAGATCTAGCTCGGCTACCGATCATTCTACGTTTCTTTCAGGACACCAAGTTTCCTACGAAAGGTGTCGTATTAGCGACGCTGTACTTAAATATTTCATTTCCATAAAGCATGCATGTGCATGTGTCGGATTGCAATCAAAATTATGATTATTTTGAATATTGAACTGTTTATACGTTCACTATGATCCTTGGCCAAGTTGGATTTAAATATAGATTTATTCAAGGGTTAATTTATAATAAGTCAAAGTAAAATATAAGAGTTTAATATAAGTTGAGGGGGAGTATATATAGTGATCCTAAAGTAAACATATGTAAATTGTTATTGTAAATGGACAGGTCATTAAAAATGAAAAACAAAATATGAGATAAGGATTGTTGGGTAAACATTGAGTCGGGAAAAATCAGAAAACCTTTTATAAAATTGGAAGTTCAATAGTTTATCATTTATTTAATATATTTTTATATTTTGGTAAAAAGATATTTTTTAATTTGTTTATTTGCTAATGCGAATGCAGCAAATATCTACATTCTTTGATTTTTAAATATTTAGAAAGTTTAAATGAATCTAAATTCGAGTACTCCTCCAATTTTGAATTTAAACACGCCAGCAACTCTTTATGATACTTTTGCTGGTTCTGGTATTTCTTATATTTTGGTAGTATTTGTAGGAATTCGTTGGTTAATTTCTATTGTTGGGTGTATATTTAATTTCTTGTTATTTTGGATAACAATTAAAGACAAGTATTTTTATAAGCTATTTGGACAAATTACTATATCCCATTCTATATTCAGATCGCTAAACAGTAGTTGTAATTATCTAATAGCAATAGATGCCCTATTTACAGCTATATATCAAACAAGTAATTCAATTTCAATGTATGTAGTCTTGACTGGAATTAATTTTATTAATTTGGATATTTGTTTTTATTTACTGATATATTGTATTTTATCAAATACTATGAGTTTATGCTTAACTTTCTTTATTGGATTTGATCGTCTCCTTTCTGTTTTATTTCCAATAACGTTAGTTGATAATAATTTAACGAACTGGGCGGGTCTAAATTTTTGAGTCAACTTCATTGTAAGACATAAAATCAAGATTCTACCTTTGAGGATCCAAATTTTGAAGAGCCGACATTTGAGGATACTAATTCCAAAACAATAAAAATTTTAATTTTATAATAAGAAATTTTTAATTTTTCGGCTTGCTCAAGGTCTAACAAGCAGATATAACATTATTTATAGAGGTCGGTAAAATCGCATTCCCTGTATCCCGTAGCAGGATTTTTTCGACATTTTGTACGGGACGGGATCATGCGGGATTAACTCCTTAAAAAGAGGGATGTTTGTATATTTTGTGTTATTAAGACGGATTTGAAGATCAGAATATTACGTGAATTTAGAGGGAATTTAAGGGATATTACCTCGAAAAATTGGGCATTTTTCAGAAAATTCATGATCAAAAATTCTGAAAATTTTGGAAAACTTAGATAAACATACAAGAGTTATTGTTGCAAAATTTTATCTTTATAGATTTTATCATGTTTTTAAATATAAAATTAATATTTAGTTTTGGTATGAAGAAATCTTCTCGTTTAAGCGTTTACTGTTCTATAGGGATTTCAACAATTTATGCATTTTTTATTCTTTGGCAATGTTGGCAAATATGTATTACAATACCTAAAACGTTTAATTAATCAAATATATTCAGTTATTTTTATTTTTTAGCCAAGTTATATGTTCAATTTCTGATTGTTATCAAAAGGATGTTGGCCAATTGGTTTTTGATTTAAATTTTGAATTTTAATTTTAAATTAATTTTTTAAAGTCTTTCCGTAATTCTTTAATTATTATTGGATTTTCTACTTTAAATTATATTTTAATTTGGATTTTATTAAAATATCGTTCAGATAATACTTTGGCTAATAAAAGTAAAAAATAATTTTTAATGATTCAAATATTTTGATTTTTAGAAGGGGCAGATTATACTCAAAGGATTTTTAAATCTTTAATGGTAATTACATCAATGGTTGTTGCAGGGTGGATGTTAAATGCAGGCAGTCGTTTTATCATGCCTTTACTTTCACTTAATCCTTTACAAACATTTTATTTTTCTTCGATACTTGGATGGATAACAAATTTTGTTATGGCTTGTAATGCTCCTGTATTATATAAATTTAGGTGAAAGTAGAATAAAATAAAATATTTATTTTTTAAAAATATATTTTTTAGTAGAGACTATAAAATTGCTTTTAATTCTGTCTTACGAAGAGGTATAGCAACAATATCAACAAATAAGACAAGAACTGTTCAAGGTACAGTAGTAACCAAGTAGTTAACCCCCCCTCCGAGTCGCCTGTCAAAAATCACTCTAGTTAATCAATCAAAAGGTGTGAGGGTATTTCCTTTTCCTTCCCCACCCACCCTACTAACCAAAAGCCTTTGAGGCTTTTCCTCTCTCTTTTGTTATCCCTCCAAAACAAAAGCTATTGAAGCTTCCCTCCCCCACCCACCCACCCACTAACCAAAAGCTATTGAAGCTTTTTTTTGCTTCCCTTACTCACCCCACAAACCAAAAGCTTTTGAAGCTTTTCCTTCTTTCTCCTTCCTCCACCCACCTCACTAGCCAAAACCAATAGGGCTTTTCTTTTGTTTAGCCCACCTAAACATTTTGATATCCACCAAATTATGCAAATGCTCCACGCTCTCTTTTTTCCCTCGGCCGAAAAAATTACGCAATATTTTCCCTTTGTAAAAATTAAAGCTTTTGCCTCCCGAAAATAAAAAACGGGTGTAAATTAAAAAATACTGTAATAGGAAGGAAAAATGAGAAAAAGGAAAATGAGAGGAAAAATTAAAAAGTAATAGAAATAAAAAATAAATGGAAATAAAAAGTATGTATAATCAAACAATTACCCTCACTCTATTAATAACCCAAAATAAAAGAAAAAATACTTTAATAGAAAATAAAAATAAATTATGGTAAATAAATTAAAATAAATAAATTTAAAAAACAAATTCAACAATTACTCGTCGTCTCAGCAATTAACCTAATCTTAATATATATTTTTAAATTCCCTTCTTTTTATTTACTAATATTTCCCTCTAAATCTTGAAATTCTTACTTTATGCAAATTTTCTTTTAGTTACCCTTCGTGACAGCCTTCCTTACTTCAAATAGAGTATAGGATTGTAAAGAAGGAACTTAAAAATTGGTATAGATGCATAAAAATTCTTTTATGCAAATTTCATAAATATCTCTTTCCTTTTCTAAAAATTCCCTCTTTAATTCCCAAGAGATTCAAAGCTGAAAATAAAAGGATCCGAAATAAAGTTTAAAAGTATTACGAAATCCTCTTCTTTTGCATTTCCTCTATGCAAATTTAACTTCCTCCCCGACTGGAAAATAATGAAATGGAATTTCAGTGATTTTACAACACATCAAATATTTTATGGATCCTTAAAAGTAAAGGATTTTCGATTTCTTTCTTCATTCTTGAAAATTTTAAGAAATTTAATACTTTTGAATTAGTCTCTAATTTTTAATTTATTTTATTATTAATGTCTCCTCCACCTTCGAAGAAAGCACGACATTTCTTCATTGATAATCTATTACAAAAAGGTGCTGGTGATTATGTAAAACATTTGGGTGAAGAAACCAAGATCACCCGCAAATTTAACATGACCAAGCTGACTACGAAATTCCTAATTAATAAATTACCTACAAACCCCGAAAGCCTACTCCAGGAAATATTCCAGTCATGTATCGATAAAACAATATCTACAAGTCGTGAACATCATCTTGAACCCGATCAACTCGGGTGTATTGTCAGCAGTCAATTATTAGAAACAGATATTTGGATCCCCATCAGGGAAATCAGCAACAACACTATCGACGCCATACTTAATCAATTCCTAAAGGTGGCGCAATCGAAGAAACAAGATAATGGTATGCTTTGGGGGGAACCCTTTACAGTCTCAGTTACCACCATTGATAAAAAACATCTACCTACAACACGTTCGATTAATGGTAGTGGTGGTAAATATACTCGTCGGATAAATGATAAAGCCTTGATCAAAATACGCAATACCGACAACTTTTGCCTATTCTACGCATTGATGGCTTCATATGTCTATTCGATATGTTCTTGGACAAAACAAAAATTCTATGACTATATACACAACAGAAAAGGGATTCACCGACTAGAGGGAGATGCCAAAAATCTTATGGCAAATGTAAGAGCTCCTCTTGATCAACCAAGCTATGATGCACAGAACTGGGTTCCCAAAGTGGTTGATTATTGGAATTCAATTAACGAAGGCCTGTTTAAAGTTTTTATTTTTGGAGAATTAGATGAAAAACCTATTTTTAAATATGGGGATGAAAATTACACTACTCCAATTCTTCTTTATTTTAACAATAATCATTTTGATGGAGTTAGAAGGGCAAGCGATTTATTTGGTAAACCTTATTGCTTATCATGTGAGATAATTTACAACCGCCCAAAAGATCATTCTATCACCTGCACATCAAAATGTCAAAATTGCTCCAGGATTGGACCTAATTTCCCATGTCAGCCTTTAGATAACTACTCAAAACGGTGCAATGGTTGTTATAAGGAATTTAATAATGAAGACTGTTACAATCATCACCTGAAATCTAACTTTTGCCACAACTCTAAGAAATGTGAGAAATGTGGAGTGATATGGTACGTGAAGGACAACAACAAGAATGGGAGAAATGGTCATGTGTGTTCAGAACGGTATTGCAACACATGTTTTAGTTTCCACGACCCAAAAAGAGGTTGTTACATTAAACCTCTAACTCCCAGGAAGCCCAAACCGTACCGGATCATCGCCTTTGACATTGAAACCATGCAACACAAGCAAGGTGAAAAGGGAATGCTACACGAAGTCAATTTTATCTCTGCAAAAATCAACTGCCCCGAATGTATTAGTAAGGTAATCAACGATTGCACTGTTTGCGGAGAGAGCCGAACTATAACCTTCTCCCATCGACCTTTCTCTAATACATCAGTGGATCAACAAAATATTACAAATGATCCTCTAACCGATTTTGTAGCCTGGATCACCGATTTTTCTACTGATACGGTAGCCTTCTCTCATTTTGGAGGAAGGTTTGATATGGTTTTGGTCTTCAAAGCATTATATCTCCAGGGACTAACTCCAGATATGATCAAGAATGGCAACAAAATGTATGAAATGAAGGTGAAGAATGATAAGAAATGTTGGGTCATCTTTCACGATACATACAATTTAATGCCTATGCCCTTGGCTTCTCTTGTACCTGCTTTTGACCTTAAAGTGGAAGATAAACCTTTCTTTCCTCATCTGGCCAACAATCCGAGCAATTATGGGAAAGAAATATACCCAACAAAGGAAGATTACCTTGCTAATGGGATGATGCCTGAAAAAAGGGCACAGTTCGATAAATGGTTCGACCAACATAAAAACGAACCTTTCAATTTGGTCGAACAACTAGCAGCCTATTGTACAAATGATGTCGATATTTTAATGGCTGCACTCATTGCCTTCAGAAAAGAATTTTTGGAGGTTTCCAATGGACTTGATGTTTTGCGGGAGTCCATGACTATAGCTTCAGCCTGCATGAAACATTTCCGCATGAATCACCTCAAGGTAAATCATGTTGGGATTGTCCCGGAAAGAGGGTACGACAACGCGGACAATCAAAGTAAACTTGCCCTCAAGTTCCTCAAATGGTATGCTGAGAAAAATAATGTAGAAGTGAGGAATGCCCACTCGAAAAATGGAGAGAAAAAGATGGGTAAATTTAAGTTAGATGGATGGGTTGAGGAAAAGAAATTGGCTATTGAAGTCAACGGTTGCTGCTGGCATGGATGCATTAAGTGCTATCCTGACAACAACCTTAAGCTTCCAACAGGTCTCACAGCTGAAAAACAACGGGAGAAGGACCAACAACGGCTAAAATTTATTAGGAATTTGGGAGTGGATGTGGAAGTATATTGGGAATGTGAAATACGTAATATGGTTTCAAAGGATTATGAAATGAGGAAGATGTTTAAAAAATACCTGGATGATGGACCAATAAATATTAGAGAGGCCTTCTATGGGGGAAGGACTGGTCCTCTCAAACTCTTCCACAAGGCTGAGCCGGGCCAAAAAATTTCTTACTACGATGTCACCTCCCTCTACCCGTTTATTAATGTTTCAACAAGATATCCGGTTGGACACCCGGAAGTCCACGTTATCAACAAAGATGTCAACTGGATTAAACCGGAAGACAACACATATCAACTTGCTCTTCTAAAATTATTCGTCATACCACCACGGAATATTGATATCCCCGTCCTACCTATGAAAATTGGGGAAGATGATGACGAAAGATTGCTATTTCCCCTGTGTTCTACTTGTGCAAAAGAGCACCCTAAAGGAGATGTCGACGAAAATTATTGCTGCCCTCACACCGACCAACAAAGAGGGTGGGTTAGCACTTGTACCTCTATTGAGCTAAATGAGGCCCTCAAGGAGGGGTATGTGGTCACCAAACTTTTTAGAGTGCTGGAATTTAATCAACATGACGACACGCTCTTCAGACCCTACATTAGTGAATTTATGGCCCAAAAAATTCACTCATCAGGCTTTGACAACACCATCAAAGGGGACAAGTTGAAGGAGGATAAGTTTATGAAGGAATGTATGGAAATGTTTGGGATTAATATAGAAAGGGAGAAGATGATGTTTAATAAAGGGAAGAGGACGCAAGCGAAATTGTGTTTAAACAACTTATGGGGTCGATTTTCACTCCGTAATTTTGGTCTTTCTCAATGCAAAATTACAGACGACCCAAGTGAATACGTGAAAATGTGTGATGACCCAGCAATAACAGTTAATCATTGTCATGAATTGACTGAAGATGGGACTGTGCTTATCGACTACATCAAGAAAAAAGATTGGGTGGAGGAACATGACTCTTCAAATGTAATAATTTCGCTCTGGACCACTTCAGCAGCGAGAATTCACCTTCTACATGCGATGCAGAAGGTTGTCAGGACGCCTGGGTGTCAGTTACTTTACACTGACACCGATTCATTAATCTTCTCCCACCCCAAAAACAACTGCCCACTTGAATTAGGGCCTCATCTGGGTCAGTTTACTGATGAATACCCAGACTTTGATATTTTGGAGTACTGCTCTGGGGGCGCCAAACAATATGGGCTGAAACTCCAAAAGAAGTCTTCTCCCAATACAGAGCCGGACTATGTTCTCAAAGTCCGCGGAATGACACTCAACTGGGATGTCATTAACAACCAAGGGTTATGTTATGAGAATTTTAAGAAACAAGTGTTTGATTTTACAAAATCTGATAATATTCCAATTTTAATTAAATATCCCAATTTTCTTAGGCCATCTATTAGAGATGGGTCAATTATTACTCAACTTCTTACTAAAATTTATAAACCGTATGTCGGTAAGGGCATAGTCCGCCCTTCCGATTTTGTTGTACTAAATTTTGGCCATATTAATAATAAACATCCTAGAATTTTATTGTAATTATAGGGGTTGGAAAGTAGCCAGGGGTACGGGCACCCAACTCTATACCAACTATCGAATGTTGTGAGGTAATCCTCACATTGGAAATCGGTAGTCGCGGACTTGAGTATAAATTCTCACTTCCCTGGTTGAGTTGGGCATGCCTGTCAAATGGCGAAGCCATACTCCTATCTTTTACAATATTTTTCACTCTTTTTTCAATAATTTTTCTTATTATTACACAATATTATTGTAAAAATTTTTATTCGTGATAAAATTTTAAAATACAATTTTGCAAAAATTATTCACTAGGAGTCACAAGTTTTAGGGGTAAATTGCATAGTTAGTAATACAAAGATACAATTTTAAAAATATTAAAAAATTAAGGGAAGGAAGACATAGTTTTTAGGGGTAAATTTACATAATTAGTGAGACAAAGTAGCTGATTTCAGATTTAGAGAAAAGGAGTTGCACTTTTTAGGGGTAAACTTACAAAATTAAGGAAAAGAAGATAAAATTTGTCAATTTCCTTATTTTTCAGTGTACACGCGTATGCAAAGGGTGTGCGTGTGTTTTTGGCGCGCATGTTGAGGGTGCGCGTAAATTTACCATTCATCTGGACAAAAATCTCCCAAAAAGATGAAATCTGTCAATTTTCATCAATTCTTCATATGCACGTGCGAATGCGTGCATGTGTAGAGAGAGAGTGTGGTGCGCCTGAGTGGCGTGTGGGTGTGTTAAGGATGTTGTCGACAAGAAGTTATTACTTATTGTGATAGACTTAATAACATAGAAAATATCTTTTCGATTATTATTTGAAGCCTAGCAACAATTCTATTACTAATTCCTTATAAGAACCTGATTAATGTCTTATTGATAAATTGAAACACGAGAATAATCATTAATTTTAACATTTGTTAGATATATTATTACACATTGTTAAAAGATGTTCTTTTAGGAAGACCCTTCACATTTACTCCAGTGACTGTCACAGTAAAAGGTTCACCCTTCAGTAAATACGCTTTTCCTATAATTTTATCTAAAATGTCGTCCAAAGTATTATTATTAGACATTTCACATATTGGACTACATACATCATCATAAAATAGATCACAACTCACAATACAACCTAAAGTATCAGGCTCAATTTTGTTTTTAATGCCTTCTCCAACTGTTTTTTCTATACAATTCTGGATAATTATTCTCATGATGTTTTTGATGTCAGAAAAGTCACTAATTATCACATACTCAAATATTCCTTTAGTTAGATGGAATTTTGTAGTAGTTTTAAAGTGTTCATGTATCTTAATAATTTTCTGATCTTCAATTAATTTATCTAAGCTCATTCTAAAAATACAATTTAGTGAGAATGAATATATTATAAGTAAAAATTTTTGTTATAATGAAACTTTCTTCACACTAATGTTGCACGAGGTGTAAAGTAGTACCAGAGATGTGAAGTAGTACCATCAGACCTTAGATAAACTAGTTAAATTGGAAGTTGTTATACAAACGTACTTTGTGTTGTGTGTGTACGGACCAACGTTGCATTATTCTCTTTGAATAGAGTAATGGCTGTCCAAAAATTGACTGAATCGAAATTCTCTTTCAGATAGTTCACTTTTCTTATTTTCTTCTTCTTGGCTAGTAGACATATGATGAAAATTTAAGTACATTTGAAAAAATTAGTAAATATGAGTTTCAAATTTCAGAGGTAAATACAATTTTACAAATATTAAAAAATTATTAGAAGGAAGACATAGTTTTCAAGGTAAAATTACATAGTTAAGAAAAATAAGATGAAATTTGTTAATTTCATCATTTTCAGTAGTTAATTAGTGTGCGTGTGTTCAGGGTGCGCATGTGTGTTGTAGGTGTGTGTTTTAAGTACACACATGTTTTTAAATATTTCGATGTTTACAATATTTACATATTTTTACAATCGTCTTCGATATAAATGATTACCATGTTTTCTCTAACTGACTATTCGGGCAGTTCGACTAAGATATTACAGTGTTGCTACGATGCGCGATATTTCAGACTGTGCGAATAATCATTGTGGTTATAAATTTCATCCATTCCAGTGAATATATAGGCTAAGCAAATAATTTGCAAGGATAAGAATAATCTCAGAAAAATTAAAAACAATTAAGGTAATCCGCGACAAATCTAAGGAAATTTAAAGGAATCTTCAATAAGCTTAAAATTAAATTTATTCAAATAAACAATCATTACCGTACACAGTTGTTGAAATTATTTTGAAAAATTTCTTATGAGGAGTAAACAAACTATGCTTTGAGTACGATACCTGCCAATGACAAATAGATTTGCTTGTCAATATTATTCAGTTGAATTATTCATCACACCTTGTTTCTATAAGTTATTGCCGGGACAGTTCCTCTAATTAATTGCAGGGCTGACTGAACACCGTTTATTATACTCCAATTAATTATTCAGACCCAATGCCCAACTGTAATTTAAGTCAGTACACGAGTCTTATCTATGCGATGACCCACACTATTCCTTGTGAGTACTTAGGCTGCCACTATGATTATGTTTTATAAACTTTTGGAAAAATATTCGATTATGAAAAAAATGAGGAAAATGTTTAAAACAATTTAAGAATGTGTTGAACATTTTCCTCATTTTTTTCATAATCGAATATTTTTCCAAAAGTTTATAAAACATAATCATAGTGGCAGCCTAAGTACTCACAAGGAATAGTGTGGGTCATCGCATAGATAAGACTCGTGTACTGACTTAAATTACAGTTGGGCATTGGGTCTGAATAATTAATTGGAGTATAATAAACGGTGTTCAGTCAGCCCTGCAATTAATTAGAGGAACTGTCCCGGCAATAACTTATAGAAACAAGGTGTGATGAATAATTCAACTGAATAATATTGACAAGCAAATCTATTTGTCATTGGCAGGTATCGTACTCAAAGCATAGTTTGTTTACTCCTCATAAGAAATTTTTCAAAATAATTTCAACAACTGTGTACGGTAATGATTGTTTATTTGAATAAATTTAATTTTAAGCTTATTGAAGATTCCTTTAAATTTCCTTAGATTTGTCGCGGATTACCTTAATTGTTTTTAATTTTTCTGAGATTATTCTTATCCTTGCAAATTATTTGCTTAGCCTATATATTCACTGGAATGGATGAAATTTATAACCACAATGATTATTCGCACAGTCTGAAATATCGCGCATCGTAGCAACACTGTAATATCTTAGTCGAACTGCCCGAATAGTCAGTTAGAGAAAACATGGTAATCATTTATATCGAAGACGATTGTAAAAATATGTAAATATTGTAAACATCGAAATATTTAAAAACATGTGTGTACTTAAAACACACACCTACAACACACATGCGCACCCTGAACACACGCACACTAATTAACTACTGAAAATGATGAAATTAACAAATTTCATCTTATTTTTCTTAACTATGTAATTTTACCTTGAAAACTATGTCTTCCTTCTAATAATTTTTTAATATTTGTAAAATTGTATTTACCTCTGAAATTTGAAACTCATATTTACTAATTTTTTCAAAATGTACTTAAATTTTCATCATATGTCTACTAGCCAAGAAGAAGAAAATAAGAAAAGTGAACTATCTGAAAGAGAATTTCGATTCAGTCAATTTTTGGACAGCCATTACTCTATTCAAAGAGAATAATGCAACGTTGGTCCGTACACACACAACACAAAGTACGTTTGTATAACAACTTCCAATTTAACTAGTTTATCTAAGGTCTGATGGTACTACTTCACATCTCTGGTACTACTTTACACCTCGTGCAACATTAGTGTGAAGAAAGTTTCATTATAACAAAAATTTTTACTTATAATATATTCATTCTCACTAAATTGTATTTTTAGAATGAGCTTAGATAAATTAATTGAAGATCAGAAAATTATTAAGATACATGAACACTTTAAAACTACTACAAAATTCCATCTAACTAAAGGAATATTTGAGTATGTGATAATTAGTGACTTTTCTGACATCAAAAACATCATGAGAATAATTATCCAGAATTGTATAGAAAAAACAGTTGGAGAAGGCATTAAAAACAAAATTGAGCCTGATACTTTAGGTTGTATTGTGAGTTGTGATCTATTTTATGATGATGTATGTAGTCCAATATGTGAAATGTCTAATAATAATACTTTGGACGACATTTTAGATAGAATTATAGGAAAAGCGTATTTACTGAAGGGTGAACCTTTTACTGTGACAGTCACTGGAGTAAATGTGAAGGGTCTTCCTAAAAGAACATCTTTTAACAATGTGTAATAATATATCTAACAAATGTTAAAATTAATGATTATTCTCGTGTTTCAATTTATCAATAAGACATTAATCAGGTTCTTATAAGGAATTAGTAATAGAATTGTTGCTAGGCTTCAAATAATAATC